CCAGTAATTAATTCAAGAAACATCCAGTCTGCAGCTCCACCAGACGCTTTATTTATTAATAATTTCCTTTATGTGGTCATATTCATTTGTCATTTATTTGTCATTTCACTTATTCTGATGTTGCTGCTAAATAAAGTTTCTAGTCTTTGTCTTTAACTTGAAATTTGATCTGAGAATAAAGCTTAAAAAATAAAAACGAACATCCGATATAATCCAACTTTATTTATAAAGCACTTAAAAAAAATGATACAGGACCAAAGTGTTATAGACAAGTTAAAAAGCACAAACAGAATAAAATACAAAAAAAAAAAAAAAAAAGATTAAAAATACATAACCAGTTATGCAAACATGCCAAAGAAAGAAACATTATTCCTTGCCAGCGAGAGTTAAATCTGTAAATTTTCTAACATATACAGTCATATTATTGAAAAAGTATGATCTAAGTCCTCTGAGGTGGTCGAAGCACAATCTCTGAGAGTGTTTGTGTGTTTGTGCACGTGGGTGACCAGTGACGGAGGAGCTCGGCAAGAGTGTGATGTACTTTAAGATACTAAATGTGTTAGATAGAAGTGACCATGTGCCATAAGTGAGAAAAACTGGAGAGAAGAAAGTAAAGAGATATTAAAAAAAAGAAGAAGAAGAAGTGATATGTCGGGAGGGGAAGGTGCTGTGTGGAGGAAAAAAATAATAAGTTGGTGAATGTGTGATTTAAAAAAAAAAAAGAAGAGGAACTGTGAAGGAGTAGAGTGTAAGTTTGTGTGTGGGATGAAACAGAGACATTAAAGACGGGTTATAAAAAATTAAAAAAAAGGCCAAGAGAGGAGAAGAACAAAAAGAAGAGAGCACGCCAGAGAAGGGAGAGAACGCAGAGGAGAAGAGGAGCAGAGGAGCGAGGGCAATGAGCTGGATTGAACACCATCTGACAGGTCCAGCTGGGAGTTTGCCCACCCTGCAGCACCACAAAACCCCTCAATATGGAGGCCAATTACTGCTGCCCGTGTGACCGTGGCATGGCAGCATCAGAGATGCAACCCTCCTCCTCGCCTTTCCTTTCACTTTTTTCTTTTTCTGTGGCTCACTCCCCTCTTCCTTTCCTCACACTCCCCCCTTCAAAAAAAAAAAAAAAAAAAAACACTCCCACCATCTGCGCAGAGTGACAACAACCTCTATGCATGCACAACACAAACTGTACACTACACACAAGCACACACACGTTCGGGGCAATATTTTTGGCTCTTAGACTCACCTCAAGTTTGCAAGTGGTTTAGTTTGTTTTTGACCACCGAGCCACAGTGAGATGCTTTCACACGTCCGCAAAGTTTTTTTTGTTTTGCTTTTGTTTAATCCGAGCCACACACACAAAGACAATTAGCCACAAGCACCGAGAGGCCTCCATACAACTGTACACTATTGTGGAGATGCAGTGGAATTTGCTTCCACAAAGCAAGGCCTGGTGCTCAGATGACAAGATGATGATGATGATGGTGGTGGGGAGGGTGAGCACAGTGGCACCCACTTTCCACTGCAGAGGTCACGCCCAAATTTAGTGCCACGTGCAGTCGAACAGAGCCGCGAGCCAACTCTGGTCCCGCAAGATGATAATTTAAATGCAATATATTATATCTCTTCTCGTTTATTCCTTAAAACAACTGATAAATACATCATTTAGTGTTGACGTCTCTTTCCAGCTGGCTGACTTCGACGCCAGAAAGAAAGCTGGGTCATTCTATCATTATTGATCCAGATGAAAGAGTAACAGAACAAGTGAGACAGATCAAACTTTTGTTACCTGCAACCAAGAAAACACATCAGGATCTGATTCGAGTTAATGTATCAGCTGAAAGTAGCCGGTGGCTCGGACAAAGTTTTAACATTTTGGCTCCTTTTGGTAACTGTTTGACCCCCTAAAGGGAAAGAGAGACAAATGAAACAAATGTATTTATCTTAAGACTCATATAGGAGTTCCCCATAAGTGCTCTTGACCTGACATTTTATTATTTTTTTGTACCTTTTGCTGTTAAAAAAACAATAAAAATATTATCCACTTCTGCTTCTGTTCATGTGTTCTCACACTGATTGAAATATATAGTTTTCCCAGCATCAAGCCCTAAATAATTAATCCCATAAATGTTGCTCTAATCTAATAAAACTGTCCAGATGGAGATTTAAGCACAGTGTGGCATTTGAAATGTCGCGTGGCTATTTTAGCAAACCGGCTGATCACTTTTTAAGGGCAGTTCCACTGAGCTGTAAACGCTGGATTATTTAATTACAGTAATTGCACTGTATTAGTAAAAAGCATTCATTTGAGCAATTACCCCCCGAATTAGACCCAGATTAATTGATTTTATGCATTTCAGCCGTGTCACATATAAGCTCATTTGTCATGGCGGTTTAAGGAGAGTCACACGCAAATATAAACTGGATCCAAAAATTAGATTTGAAATATTTCATAATTAATTTTACATTTTTTTTCCCCCAATTAGACAGAATAAGAAATAAGGACAAGAAGATTGGTTAATTACTATTATTATTTTTAATTCACTTATACCCCACAGGTGTGTTAAGGGCTTGAAATTTTCAGGTAAAACTAAAATAAAAAGTAAAAATGTCCTCTTTTTTTTCCTTCTCCCACTGGGGTCACGCGTGGACACTCACCGGTGGAGAATAATGAACAGATGCTGAGTGAATTAGGAAAGGAATACTGGGTCCCTCCCACAAGGGCCACTTTTGGCAGGGGCCACCCGGCTGCCACGTGGCGCAGCTGGCACCAGGCAGGTCGGTGATGGTGAGGTTCTGCTGGTGCTCAGACATTTAGCGAGCTGGCACCGGGCTGCTCCATCAGAACCAGTGCCAGCCGCCGGCCCTCTTCACTGAAAGCAGGAAAAAAAAAATCACAACCGCAAAAAACGAGAGCAGGAAACAACTTCCGGTGCCCCTCCTCAGGCCTGCGCTTCATTTCTGCGCATTTTGTCTTAAATAGACAACCTGACTTCACAGGCTACAAGTGTTTCCTTCATTGTATTCGAATAAATCTCTGTGAGTTTGGAAAAATATGGATTTCTTCTCTTTTTATAAAAGCTAGGGCTAAATCATAAATAATAATAATAAATGAATATTTGAACTTGAACAGATCGATAAGGACATAAAGTTGGTGAACAAGTGGGTGCAGAAAATTAAATGATGACACTTTACACTTTCTATTTTAACAATGATGCCACATTCTTGCAGTTTAGTATTTAAAAAAAAAAAAAAACTTTTTTTGTGTGTGTATAACAGCTTCAAATATTTTAATAATCACCAAAATTGTGGCGGGGGTTTCCTCCTCCTCTCGTGACTGCGTCTTTTCTTTAAGTGCTCTTTTTTTTTTTTTTTTTTTTTGGTTATTTTTGTTATTTCGGGCTGTGTGGTTATTTTTGCAGCAGATTTTTTGGAGACACAATCTAAATGTGCGTTTGTGTGTTCTTTCAGCTGCGGGTGCAACTCTTTAAACCACCGAGCCACCGACTCACCTGATTCTGCACCTTGCTCGGCTCCTGGTTCGAGTCCGATGGACATCTGAGACTAAAATGAAGCCAAATGGAAAGATGGACTTTTAATTCAAATTTATAGAGTTTATATAAATATAACTGTTCTTGGGTCAGAGCTGGATGGGAAAGACCCCCCACCCCCCCCACCCGACAACATATGGAGACTCGGGGCTTCAGGCCAAAACATGATGTGTTGTGATGAACTTCTATTGTTTAAATTTTCTATATTATATCTATATATCTATATATAAAACTCCTATATTTAAAGAAATTGTATGAATTCAATACATAATACAAAAGCTCAAATTTTTGTTTTCTTGACTCGAAAGAAAATATTTTAAATTAGACGTTTATATTGATTGTTTTGAATTAATAATCAAAATCATGTGTTTTCGTTTTGTTGTGCACTCTGAAAAATGTGCAGCTGCCACAATGTGTTGATGAAATAAATAATTTCATGTTTTTAACATGCGTTACTTTAGAGTCACGTGACGTGGATGAGAAAAGGAAAGGGAGCCTCTCTGTGCGTCAGGCCAGCTTGCTCATTGAGGCCTGATCCTCTGCATTTCTAACCAAGAAAACATTTTGCACTAAACTCAAATATGAAAAAAATTGGAGTTTATGTTTGTATTTTATTTTTTTATTTTTAAAATTTTGATGCATTGCGCACAAAGCAACCCGTTTTGCGCATGTCACCTTTTCTCCAAATGGTTAAAAACAAGCAAACGTGGCCATCCCTCCCCGCATGAATCTATATGATGATAATTTTGTATACTTATAATTATTTTAGTAATTATAGATCGAGCACATTTTATGAGCAAAATCGTGATCAGAAGACCAAAAAAGCTGTGAGCTCACGCAAACATTGATTTAAACCTGCAAGATATTTAAGTTGCATTTATTATTTGCTGTATTTCTGCCTTAAATTAGGCTTTGAGCATTAATTAAATAATTGTTGAATTTAATAAATACCAAAGTTGCTGCATCAACAAAACGTTTCAAATGAAAAGTTATTTAATGATCACTGCTGGTTTCAATGCAAATTCGTTGCACTCCGTTCATTAAACACATTGTAGGGTTTATTTTAGTAAAACGTTTTGTTTTCAGTTGATAATTTTGTTTGCCCTTTGCTATTCCAGATTATTTTGTTTAAACTTATCTAGTGGTTTGGTGTGCAAAACAGTCTGTTGCACTTGAAAAACTATTTTGATCATGTAAAAACACTCATTTTAAAGGAATCTGGGAAGAAAAAGGTGGATCAAGTTTTTAAAACATCCTTTCTGGCAGGCCGCATGATTTTAAAAGCAGGTCAGACTGAAACTTGAGAAAACCTCCTGATGTTTAATTATATATATAAAAAAAAGTCAACATGTACATTATTTTAAAATAAACTCAAGCTTTCTCTCTTTTTCGTTTTTTAACTGCAATAAAAGATTCTCAGGGGTGTCACTTTATTTTACTTGCGTCCCCCTCTTTTTAAAACTGAAGTCATTTTGAGGAAAAGTTTATAACAAAAAATGTCTACCATCATCTCAGACAATTATAAAACACTCTTTTTTTATTTCTGTTGTTGGTGTAGGTCGTGTTTACATGTTTCATTGCGCTCATTCAGGGACTCATGGATACAACAGAGTTTACATCAGAGAGGATCATTCTTTCCACGCGCGCGTGTTTTTCAGAACATCGTTAGAAGTTCAAGGGTTGTTTCAGGGAAGTCACTGTTCTGAGCTCAGTTGTGGAAAAACGCGTTGAGCTCCTCGTACGGAGGCGCCCTGTCGTGATGCAAGTGGACCTCGTGGAAAGGTGGAATGTTTTCAGAGTGCGCGCCACCGCTGCGCGCCCCCGTGGACCCAAAGTGAAGGCTGTGGCCGGGTCTCGACGTGGTCAGTCCGGAGTAGTGCATAGAGTAATGGTAGTTCCTGTCCGTCTCTGAGGACTCCTCCTGCTGCTGCTGCTGCTGCTGCTGCTGCTGCTGCTGCTGCTGCTGCTGCTGCTTCAGGCACACAGACGGGCTGTGCTGGCCCTCGTAGTCCGGACTGTTGTAGTCCGGGGACGTCCCCCCAGGCAGGTACACGGCCTCGTACCCAGAGCCGTAGGAGTGGGCGCGCAGGTTGAGCGCGCCTGTTCCGGCCTGGTAATGCGGGCTGGAGAGGCGCGAGCACCGGTAGGGGTACGGATGCACGGAGAAGGGCGAGCTGGGCACGTGGAAGCGGGCTCCGTCCGCGCACGGCTCCGTCAGGAAGTTCCTGGTGTTGAGCTGCAGGCAGCCTGCCACCAGGTTGGTGGTGGGCTGGGACAGGCCCTTGCACAACATCTGCACATAGGTCACCACATCTGGACGCTTGCCGTTGCGTAAAATCTCCCCCAGGGCCAAGATGTAGTTCTTGGCCAGCCTCAGCGTCTCTATCTTGGAGAGTTTTTGGGTCTTGGAGTAGCACGGCACCACCTTGCGCAGGTTGTCCAGCGCCGAGTTCAGGTCGTGCATGCGCGTGCGCTCCCGCGCGTTCGCCTTCATCCGCCGCACCTTGGAGCGCTCCACGCGCGCCGCCGTCATCTTCCGTTTCTTCGGCCCGCGCTTCTTCGGCTTGCCTCCGTTCTCATCCGCGCCGCAGCCCCCCTCCTCCTCCTCCTCCTCCTCCTCTTCCTCCTCCTCCACCTCCTCCTCCTCGCCCTCGTCGTCCTCCTCATCGTCGCCGGCCATCTCCGACTCCGCGCGGCTGCTGCCTTCGCGCGGCTCGTCCAGCTCGTCCCCTCGGGCGCGGCACGCCTCGCGCTCCTCCTTCACCTTGCAGTGCTCGTTGTCCGTGTCCTCCACCCAGTCGGCCGCGAGCCTCTGGACGTCCGGCAGCACCTCGCTGAACAGACGGCTCAACATGACGAGCAACCTGCAGGGACACACACGAAGAGCGCGTCAGTGCGCGCGCGGGGCCATTTTACGCGCTCTCAGTGCGCCCCCCATGACCTCTAAACGTGGCTCTTAGTGCATCAGAAACAAACTACAAATAAATACGTGTTGGACAAACCTTCAGAGAAAAGAGATGAAGCCCAAAATGTAAAGATTAAAATTCAGAACGGGGCGAGTTTATCAGCAAGAAAATGTTGATTTGAATCAAATATTTAAAGATTTGAAAACACTATTTTAAGGTTTGACCAACCTGCAGATTTCTGCTAAAACATAAGAAGTTTGCTTTGGGAAGAATCTGTGCCAAACTCTCTCAACTATAATAAACCTGTTCTTTAAAATCTGCTCAACTAGAAGCTGTCTGACATATACACACACACACACCGGTGTGTGTGTGCGTGTGTGTGTGTGTCCTCAAGAAACAGCCTGAGATTATTCCCAAGGGGCTCACAACGGGTCTGTGCTGCAATAAAATACAATTCTGGAGGAATTTTAGCACAAATATCAAACTTTTTTAAGTATTTTCTGTTTTTTTTGTTCTTCCCTCTTTTGTTTTTTTTAAACTGTTATCCAAAAGGATGAACTAGAGGGTTTTTCTTTTTTTGACCTATATAAGTTCTTCGTAAATTTCCAAACCCCCCAATGAATTAATAAATAAACAAAATCCTAAATAAAAACCAAAAAAATATTATTCACGCTCGCAGGCTCATAAACTATATTTTGAACTTAGTGGCTCAGAAATCTCAAACAAAAAGGTATTTTCTTATAAATAAATAAAAAAACATATCTTTCACTGAAGGTCATGTCTTTTTATATATATATATATTTATCAACCACTGGTTATTTAATACAACACTTCAATGTATTTATTTAAAACATATGAAACTTTTAAATTCAACATTTTAAAGTCTCAACTGTTCCACCACAACAAATCTAATTCAACATCAGAAACTCTTTCTCCGACAGTAATTCGGATTCAGTGTGCGTTTAAATACAAATCTGAAAGCAGAGCATGACACATATTCCCAAATCTCCCCAGATGTTTCCGAGCGCAGCTGTGTGCGTCTGGAGTCCAAGAACGTTTCTTCTCCTTCTAATCTTGTAAAGCACAATGTAATTAATGCCAACCAATACCTTGTCAATTAGCCAGAGTATCTCTATGGAGAATTCAACCCCCACGGTGCTCTGACGCGCGTCGCGCACACACATGCACACACATGCACGCACACGATTGCAAATTATTTGTACTCCAGACGCTCGTTTTCGAGGAAAAATGCAACTGTTCTGCAAAAATATTCACATATTTCTAGAAATAAACTCCCGAAAAAGGCAACGCTGATGTGATCATATCCAAGGAGAGAGGGAGGAAAAAAAAAAGAAAAAAAAAAAGGCGCATCTGATTCTCTTCACTTCGTGCATCTGCAAGCAGCACAAAGACACAATTAAAGCAGTTTTTTTTCTGACAGGCAGGAGAAGTGACACCTACCTCCGTGGTGGAGCTCAGTGACGGGACGAAACGGGTTTGTTTACACCATCTCTCTCCGGGTGGGCATCACATCCACACGCCCCGCGCGGATGCTGATGTTGCGCTCGCGCCTCTGCTGCTGCTCCTATCCCCCCAGCTCAAAACGTGTGGAGGGAGCCGTGTGGCACCTCAGAGGCAGGACTGGGTGGGTTACATACCAGCTCTGATGCCAGGCCCATATGGCTGGCACGTCATTGGCAAGAGCCATCACATGAGAGCCGGTGATTGACATGCGGCCGCATTCACAGAGACTGGCTTCCCCCCTGGGGGAGAAGGACTCGCCATCTGTCACTGAGCTGAAAGAGAAAATGGAATAAGGAGAGGATGGCACCAGAAATGCTTCTGTTAGCTTCCATTTTATTTGGAAAAACGGGGTTAATCTCGTATAGGGGCTTTAGGAAAACAGCTCAAATGTAATTATAGTAAGCCTATAATGATAATATTGGTCATTTATATTTTTAAGCTCAGCAAAATAAAGATGATCTTGTTGGATGGTGATATTTTTAGGCTCATGCATAAAACAAACATGAGAGCCCAAGCTCAAATATTGATACGATATAACAAAGGAGGACTAAAAAGAACAATTATGTCTTAAATGTGGTCGTCTACAGTCAGAAAACCCCAGCATGTCCACTCAAAGACCAGCACAAAGATGAAGGGGGGGGGGGGCACAGACATCAGAGTCAGGGTGCAATTGCCTAAATGAGTCAATTGAACTGAGCTAAGCAGTGTGTCCTGCTTGGGCTGCCAGGCTTGGCACAGGTGCCCGTGGGCTGACGGTGCCAAAGGTGGCCGAGGCACAGACTGCAGAGAGCGAGCAAGAAGATGGGGGCAAGGAATAAGAGTGAAAGCCACGTGGGCCGAGGGGCATCATCGCCATCATGTTATTGATTCACAGTTTATTGACAGGCGACAGCAATTTCTCCCCATCTTTACTGAAACAAACAGCATGCCTGAGCGCCTCCCTTTCCTCATCCCCAAGGTCAGTTCACACAAACAAACACGAACGGTCAACTTGAGTTAACAAGAACAACAAGGAGTTCACGCCAAATCAGAAATCAGCCCATTAAATGGCTGTTATTAGTTGTTATCATCCCCATAGGTAGCGTTCAGACTGTCCCTCCTACCTCATGTAGGTTTAACAGTACGTTCTTATTGCTGGTAGTGTGCAGCTAAAACTATAAAGGTTTTTTTTTTGTTAGCTTTAACCTTACACCTGAGAGCACTGACCCTAAACTTAATGTCCTGACCCTTGAGCCTTAACCTAACCCCCTGACCGTATTATCAGCGAGAAGAATGTACCTTTAAACCTACTAGGAGGTACAATCTGAATGCAAGCTATATGATAACAACAATAAGGGCTATTTAATGGCTGATAACATTTGAAGCGTGTGCACAAAATGCAACAAAACCAACAACGGAATCAAGAATTGTCACCACAAAGTGACCGAACATATTCAGAGCGATCAAAGCTGCATAAACAGCCATACAAAACACAAATAATTCATGTGAAACACAAAGTTAAAGAATCAAACCTCAACTAAATAATCACCACAAAGTGAACGCAGTGAGACCAACTGCTGACAAAACATGTTGGAGACAGAACGACAAACAACCGGGACACGGTTTTTCATTCTTGCTGCATGAAGTGACCCCTTCCTTTGTGACCTCTGACCTGCTCTCGTCTTTTCAGCAACTGTTTTGTGTAAAAAGCGATTTCATAATGAATGAGTGTTGTTTGGAATGAGAGGTTTTCCAAGACGTCACAAACTGATTGTTCTTTGAAATGTGACATCTTTTGAAATGTATCGAACAATGAATGTTGGTGATTTATGTTCATTTATCTGAGAAGGAATTAGTCAAATGGTTTAAGAAACAAATATTTTTTGTCATGAGTGATCCTGCTAACAGAACAGAGTCTTAACTGGAGTTATCGGAGAGATCATATCTCTCCAGTTTTAGCTTCTCTGCACTGGCTCCCTGTCAAATTCAAAATCTTACTTCTAACCTACAAAGCTCTCAACAACCTAGCTCCATCTTATATTACAGATCTTTTTGTTCCATATTTTCCTAACAGAGCACTTAACTCTCAGATTACAGGCTTACTTGTGGTTCCTAGAGTTTCCAAAAGCAGAATGGGAAGAATATTTCTCAGTTATCAGGCTCCTCTCTTGTGGAACCAACTTCCAGTTTCTGTCCATGAGGCTGACACTTTGTCCAATTTTAAGACTTTCCTTTTTGATCAATCCTATAGTTAGTCGGCTTGGTTTCCTGACCTATTGCTTATCCTGTGCTTCTATAACCGCAAAACAAATTTACCTCATTTCATCAAACGAACAGTTACAAATACATATAAATGCATAGTCTGTATTTGTAATTATTATTTCTTAAAATGTGATTTCGGTCTTTTTGTTATTCCTATAGAGAAAACCTGATGGCCTCCATCCTGGACCTGTCATCGTGAATCCGTTTTCTCCTTCCTGTTCCTCTTAAACCCAGCCAGTCGAAGCAGATGGCCACTTGTCCTGAGCCTGGTTCTTCTGGTTGTTTCTTCCTCATGAGGGAGTTTTTCCTTTCCACTGTCGCCTTCATGCTTGCTCAAAATGAGAG